AGACTAGAAAGCTCCATCTCCCATGTGCAAGAGTCACTAACCTCCCTGGCGGAAGTAGTTCTTCAGAACCAAAGAGGCCTAGATTTAATCTTCCAACAACAAGGGGGGCTCTGTGCTGCCTTAGGTGAAGAATGCTGCTTTTATGTAGACCATTCGGGAGTGGTCAAAGAATCTATGGCCAAAGTCAGAGAAGGTCTCGTTAAGCGAAAACGAAAATGAGAGCAAAATCAAGGTTGGTTTGAATCTTGGTTCAATTCCTCCCCATGGTTGACCACTCTGATCTCTACCCTGCTGGGACCGTTACTCATTTTGTTACTCCTGTTAACATTTGGACCTTACGTACTTAACAGGCTGCTATCTTTCATCAGAGAACACATTAGTGCAGTACAGCTGATTGTACTTAGGTCCCAGTACCAACCAGTTTCTGAAGACCTAATAAAATTGGCCCCTAGAGGCCCATGATTGGTCCTCTATAGCTTCATGAGAAGGGGGGAATGTGAGACCTAACTAACTCCATTTTAAAGTTTGACTCCATCTTAAATATAAGACAGTAAAGTGGCCTTGACATAAATCCCACTTCACTGAAGTCAACTATTCCCCTAGTCTCCTTTGTGCCCATAAACTAATGATAAAATGTCCTTGCTGTGGGACAGCAGATAAAAAAAGAGACACAGCTCCTAACTCAATCCTCTGTCTGCCCAGAAAACAGATGCTCCCGGGCCCATTATCTATGGAACATTCTGTCAATGTGCTGATTGTTCCTTTTTCCCATAAACTCTACATGTAGCCACCCCTCAACCCCCCATGCTTGCTAAATATCAACCAATCATGTAACTGCTAAATGGAACATCCCCAAACCTTGTGGTAGCCACAATAAAAACCCTGCTGATTTGGAATTCGGGGCTCTCAATCCTGATCCGTTGCGTTGGTGACGGTTGAGTGCCCCTGCTCGAGCTTGAATAAACGACCCTCTTGTGTTTACATCGGAAATGGCTCCTTGGTGGTCTTTGGGGACTTTGCGATCTGGGCACAACAGAGGGAGGGAGGGAGAGAGAGAGAGAGAGAGAGCAAGCGCCGGAGTGGGAAGATGAGAATGGAGATTGACGGAAACAGAAGAGCAGGCGGGGAGGGTACAGGAGACTGGGCCTGTTACAGGCACGGCAAGGATTCTTCCGCAAGGACCCGGATGGCTACACTTCCTGGGACAGGACTGAGGAGTGTTGCACACTTTGGAACACAGAAAGTAAGGGAGAAATTTCAGAATACTCCAGATATCCTCCAAGCAATTTGTAACCAGAGTGGAATGTGGAAGAACAGAGATTCAATCCATCACAGGCCTTTTCCCTGGGGAGCAAAAGTCAGCTGGTGATGCTTTGGGTGGAGAGTATGGATTTAGAAGCCACTCCAGTCTTCCTGAAACATTTTCTCCTTCACCTTATTATCAGTGGGAGCCCCAGAACCAAATGCTAAGTTTTCTTAGTTAAATATTTCTTAGTTAAATAATTTTTCTTAGTTAAATATATGACAGTTTTAAGAAATGACTTCACTTTCCATTCTAATTAGATGTTAGTGATTCCTCTCTCTCTGCTAATTACTTCATATAATCCTTCTGTAAAGTACATATGTATGTATAATTACATATATTTATATAATTTATATGTACACATGCATATGTGTGTGAACTTTGTGTGTGCATACAGTCACACACACACACACACACACACACACACACACACAGAATTTTAATGACCTGCATCTTGAGAGACTACATCATCCATAAAAATACCCTTGCCTTGGATTGGTAGCTTTCTGAGGTTTCAGTTTCAATAGCTTCTTCCACATTAGGCTGCTTTCAACTCAAAGGAAATAATTATATCCAGGTTTGGCTCTGTTCAGCAGAGCATGACTATACCAGAATGGGAGTCTTCCTGACAGAGAAAGAAAATTGAAAAGAAAAAAAAAAAACAATAAAACCTGATACACAAGACCCCAAATTGTCTAAATCCATTTTCAATAAAAAGCTTGGTGGCTTGGTAAAGACAGTGACCTTTGAAAGAAAAATCCATTGAAAAATCCCATTTCCCATGCTATGAGGTTAGGAGAATGAATTGCACCGGGGGAGCTGGCTGGGGGGACTCCTTGTGACATGTAATAAAGCAGGTGGCCTCCTTTGAATTTTCCCATTAGGTGTCCTGGAGAGACCTCAGAAATATGTGGGCCTTGCAGACTGTAACTCAGGCCTGGCTCTTTGTCTATAGAACTCATGGTTTTTCTTGAGCAGTAGAATTAGAATCTAGATTACTGTACTTGAAAGGTCCAGCAGGAAGTTGTTTTTTATAGTGTTGGATTTCTTATTTGCCATAGAATGTTAAATAGGCTTCTTATTTGCATGGTACATTAATAGTTTGACTTGCTAGTGGGCAAATGTCTCCCGTCCTGGAGACCCTGTTCTTTTTCTTCTCATCCTGCTTTCCTACCACAAGGATCCATGGGAATGTTTTCATTACACGTGTAGGGACGAAGTGTTTTAGAAGAAGCTTCTGCCTCTGTCCAGTGTGGTGTTCAAATCTGTCATAATCAGCCTCAATGCAGGCACTCACCCCTGCGTCATGCAGCAGGCCACGGAGAGTTAATTGCCTCCCTTGCTTATTCGTTCAGTAAAGGAATAGTGAAGAAACTTGATATGACAAAACAAACACGGTCTCTGTTCTCATGTAATATGTGATCAGGAGACAGAGAGGCACTCAGGATGTAATTAGCCAAACCACTAATTAATTGCACTTTTGAAAGTGAATGACAGAGAAGGATAAGATGCAATGAGAAGGTGTATCAAAGGGACTTATATGTGTGGACGGGACACACAGGCTGAGGAAGAAACTGGTACCAGCACGCGGCAGGCCACTAGAGCCGCAGAACCTGCCCCTTTGTACAGTCAGACTTCTGGGAAACCTATTTTGAATTAATAAAAGTTGTATACCTGATAGTTTCACTCCTGAATTCACTTCCCTTGAGTGTAGAAGAATCAATAATCTGAAAATTTCTAGCATAATGTTTTCCAATCTTTCTTGGTCTTTGTTCAGTTTCCTAAGTTAGAAAGCATCTGGGAGACATGGCATAAATGGTCCAAAACACAGATATTCAAGGAAATAATTTGTTCTCAATTCTCCTCATGAGTTCTTGGGAGTCAAAGTCTCAAACTAACTGGCATCAGTGTCTCTTAAGAAACTGTTCATGCCAAAGCAGAGCTCAGGATAGCAAGAAACATTTGCTTCAGTTTACCTTTAATATTCAGATCTATTTTTTTGGAATCAAGATCGGTTTACATGGGAGCAGTTTTGGTAGTTACTGTGGAAGTGTGAGTTAACTGTCTCTGCTTTCCCTGTGTCAGTGGTACCCTGGGGGCCAGCACTGGCCCACGACTTGTCTTTGTCAATAAAGTGTTATTGGAACACAGCCATACTCATTCATTCATGGGTCAACCATTCATCTATGGCTGAGTTTGCACTGCAAGAGGATAGTTGAGGAGATGTGACAAAATCAGTATGCCCCACAGAGTTGAGCATATTTATTATCTCATCTTTTGCAGGAAAATGTGCTCCTCCCAGTTCTAGCATTCTGTATAAATTACTGCTCCAGGGGCTGCCTAGGTTGGGGACTTATGTCACTTGACATGACAGGCGTGATGAGTCCTAAAGGGCACATAGTAGTGAGCCAAACAATGCAGGCTGGGGAGTCCTCAGTCAGGGGAAATCAAGTGCTTCAAAGATCTGCAGTGGAGCTTTTGTGATCAGAGCTGACAGAATGTGGGGAAGAGTTGCTCATGGGGGGTGATGGTGCTGAAAAAGCCCACCTAAGCCATGTCACACAAACCCTTGTAAACTGTGATAAAGTCATTAGATATTTGGGCTGACTCAGCCTTTCATTATTCAGGTGATCTATTTTTTTAAAGACAGAAGTGGTATCTCTGCCAATTCCACATCTGTTTTCTCCATGGACTAGAAGTCTTGTCACCCTGTCCAGTGGACCCAGTGCCACTGTAGGGTCCAACCCAGAGCACTGGGGACATCTCTGGTGTTTCTGAACACACAGCTGAGCCTGGCTTATGGAGAGGAGCCCAGGGCATAGGTGGGGCTTCCCTGAGGGCTAACCTGGCCTTGAACCTTGGGCTTCACAGTCCCCATGCCAGAGCTTCTCTGAATCTTGGGGTTGGCACCGAGGCTGCCAGAGTTGGCATGAAGGAGGAGGACACAGCCCCACAAAGGCTAGTTCCTGCAAAGCCAGCCTCCTGCTCCAAGGGGCTCCAACGAGGAGCACAAAAGGAGCCTTTCTTCCCGTCTCCACATTCTGCCAAGTCAGCCTGAATAGAGGCCACGAGAGAGGAAACGGGTAGTGGTAAAGGTGTACAATATGGGCTTTGGGGTTACTTAGGGGATTTGAATTTCTGTCCTCAGACTTGCAAGCTATTAGGCAAGCAGCTGGCAGTCTGGGCCTAAGTTTCCAAGTCTGTAAAAGGGAGATACACATATTAGCCTGGCGGAGTTGTGCTGCTGATAGGCAATGAGCCATGCAGAAATGCTTAGCACACAACCTGGCTCCGGAACCACTGATTATTAAGTGGCCACGTCTTCAGTGGGCTTTGGTCACACGGTCCGCCTCTCACTCTGTAGAGACTCTCCCTGCTCCCAAAGGAAGCATGGTTCGGAGATCTGCAGCCTGGCTGAGGTGGCAGCGGGGACGTCACCTGCCTGCGCTGGGAGGCCGGATTACACCGGAGACGTCACTGGCCCGGAGCCGCAGCAGCCTTCAAACAAACCAGCTGTCTGGCACGGAGAGCAAGGAGAGGTTCCTCCCCCTTGAGGATGGAGAAGGAAGCAAGTGAGAAGAAACAAGCTATTAATATGAATGTTCCCGCAGGCGCCCGGAAAGCCACTCCCTGTGGCTCTGCTGTGCTCATTTCCGCAGGACGAGAAGCGCGGAGAATGCAGAGAGCGGGAGGGGCGGGAGGAGGCGGGAGGCGGTGACGGCTGACCCTCCTGGGAGCTGCGGGGAGCGGTTTCTGTCTGGACAGTCGGCCGTCCACTGCCATCGGAAGAAGCCAGAGAGGAACGGGGGTCCCTCGGGTGCCCTGCTTATGCCGAGTGGGTGCACGGTATTTTCTGAATGGGACTGTTGTGCTTCACCAAGGCATTCCAGGTGTGACCAGGGCCCTTCCGGGGTCTTCTCTGTGGACCTACGGAGGCCGAGTTATCCAGTCTGCCCATGGCTGTCCCAGTCTTCCAGCTTCTTGTGTCTGATGTCCGAGAATCCAGTCGGCAGCCTGACCTAGATCAAAATCCTGTCTGCAACCCTGTCCGGGCCGCCACTCAGGCACCGTGCCCCACCTCAGTGAGGAGGCTGAGATGTAACCTGCGAAGAACTGAGGAACAGCGAGGATGTAGAGACTCATCAGCAGTGGCTGGTGTTATAAATTTCTCCTCCCGGTGCTAGATGGTAGAGAGCAAAGGAGTGCAGGACCTACAGTAAGCAGAAAAACTGGGGGCTGTTTTGTCGTCAGTAGCATGGGTGTTGCAGACCCTAAGGAGACAAGCTTCCCTGGGAACACTGCAGGAAAGCATTAAAGCCCTTCTCCAAGCACAGCTGAGAGTGTGGCCACCCCACACCTCAGTCACCGCACTGTTGTGAGGCGTTCTCTAGTCCCAATGTCACAGGCTTCTGTGGGGTCGCTGTGAGAGGCAGTGTGTAAGGAGGCAGCGCTTGGACAGTCTTCATTGCTCCTAAGTAGATCTCACTCTGGTAGTAGGGTCCCTTTATGTCGACGCTGATGCCCATGGACACTGAGAAGGGCAAATGGGACATGTTCGGCTTCTGTAGGGAAAGTAAGTGTAGAAAGACGCTGATTGGCTTTGCTGGAAAGTGCAGCGGAGGGTACAGAGCGGGGGCAGAGAGACTGACACAATTGGAAATGCACAGGCATGCTCTGAGGGACACAAATACCAGGGCGCGGTGTCCCTTTTAGGGAGGTCTTACGTGCCAGGGCAGAATACACAGTTTAGGGTCTTGACTGGAAGGCTTTGATGCTGGCCTTGGTACCTAGAATTGATCTTTAGGCAGTGAGGGAGACATTGAAAGATTTTAAATGGGGGTAGTGCCAGTCTCATAAGGATTGGAGGTAAACGTGAATTGGCAAGTTTTTCAGGATACAGGACAGTAGTTATCTACAAGAACTATTATGTTCAGCTCAATAACAACCCCTGACATGGAATCTCATGCAGTCAGCACATGGCTGCTGAATTTTGGTTTTGAATATAAAGTTGCTATAATTGCCTGGCCTTTCCAGAGTTTTCACATCCGGTGACTTTGACATATATTTAAATCAGAGTGACTATTTCTCCTGCAAAAATCCAGTCCAGTGGCTGAGATTAGGTTACACGTCACACATACCTCCAGCCTCCCTCCTGAGCTTGCTCTAACCAAATCCTCTTTTCTGTAGGTACCAGATGAAAGTAGGCTTGGGTGGTGTTCGTTTTCCAAGACTTTGTTTTCCAAGAGTGTCTTTGGTTTCCAGTTTAACCAGCTGCATGATTTCACACAGCATAAATAGACGCTAAGCAGAAGACTGGTGGAAAGATGGCCAGAAAAAGCAGTAATCAGAGTTTGGAAGAACTAGGGAAACATGACATGACAAAGATAGGACATCACGTGTGCTTTCCTGCGGGGTCAGTTCTGGGGAGAATTAAGGGACAAGGAGAGGCCACAGTGACAGGAATGTCTGAGGTTCCTGCAGAAGCCCTGAGTTGTTACCACCCAGGGGAAGCACGAGGGCTTCGGAAGCAGCAGAAGCCAGAGTCTCTCCTGACGAGCCCAGCGCTGTGAGCTTGGGGAGCAAGCTTGTCTGTAGGAGCTGGGGGATTGCATGGGCTCTGTAAGGTTTTGGTGAAAATTAATCAAGAAAGAAATGTGAAAGGACTTAAAGCAGCACCTATCATTCATGTTCCTCTACTTCCCTACTATTTTGTGCTTCCCAGTTTGTTTTTCTAATTCCCCACACCTAACATTTTGAAATTTGCCACAGGTACTTTTCTCGTTGAAAATTCCCTTGGGGTCATGTAGAGAAACAATACTTTACAGCACTTTCAAAAGTGTCTGGTCATCATCTGTCTGCTCTTTCTGGCACCTCTGGTTGTGTTCTCACCCCAGTCTTGCAAATGTGGAAACTGAGGCTCTGAGTTGTACAGTCAGTATTTAGTGACAAAACTGGTGCACTAACTCACAATGCTTTTTTCCACAACAGACAGAGAGTACCGAGATTTCTCTGAGGACTCCCTGGACCAGGAAGTCTTTACTTGGTAGAACACCTCATCTTGGAAACTGCCTCAGGTGTTCTCTGAACCTGTTTTCCAAAGGTAGGTGCCATGTGATCCGGAGAGCACGAGGGTAGGGGTGAAATCAAAGTGGAAGCTGGGACACTGTATTGGGCCAGAAGTCTCCTCATGTCACCTGCCCTTCACCCAAAGCGAGGTTACACTGAAGCATTAGCTGCTAGGAATTCTTCTGAAAGGTTGACCTCTCCCTTCTGACCTGCACCCACACATTCATGCCTAGCTCCAGCACTGGCCAGAATTCCAACAATCCTATCCACTGCATGCACATGGCGACCTGCTTACTGTCCTCTGACCACTTTTCACTAACTTGGTCTGCATTCTGTTGCCTCCTTAGCTTTGTTTCTTGATTTGGGTTATGCTATTCTCCCTGCTTTTGTGGGAGCTACAGCTCCCAGGATTTTGTCCCAGTTTAGTTGTGTCGTAGGTTCCTCATCCCCTTCTCTCTCTCCATTTTCAGCAACTCTACAACCAGCTCTCCACCTGGGCACTACTGTTGATTCTTGGGGTCACCCTTCTGATAATACTTACATGTGACACTGAACCCTTAGCCTTCCAGCCTTCCATGACAAGGATGGAAAATGAATGGAACTGTAAAAATATGCCATGATATTCCTCTACACAAGCAATCATCACAGGTATTTATTTACCTTTACAAAATATTCATAAAGTCCCTCTACAGTAGTCCATTTATAGGAAATGCTAAAAATGAGAGAAAAGATGAAAGAAAAAGAATGAATGAAATAAACTCAAGTTTACCACAAGTCAGTGACATTTAATTCCTGGGAAGCTAGCTATCTTTGAATGCTTTCCTGGTTCTTTAAGCTTTTATCTACTATTAAAAAATTGACCTGTGTTGGTTGCTGTATGTCATTTGTAGAGAACTGTGGAAGCTAATTAAAAACAAAACCAAAAGCCACAGATGTAATTATTATATAATGAGAGGATAACATTAGCTGATGCTATTACAAATACCGAAAGTGAATTTTAATTAGAACCCAGATGGTAACTAAAAAATTATATATAAAGAAATTTCACTTTTACTACCACTTTGCAAAATAATTATACATCACAAGTATTGCTCAGGTACTGTGTTAGTCAGCATTTTGTCACTGTGACAAAATACCTGAGTTTATATTGGCTGCTGGTTTCAGAGATTTCAGGCCATGGTCATCTGGCTGTGTTGCCTTTGGACCTGTGGTAGTGCAGTGCCTTGAAATGGGAGTACATGAGAGAGATGTTTTGCTCACTTCATGGTGGCCAGGAAGCAAAAGAGCGAAAAGGGACTGGGGTCCCAATATCAAGTTCAAATGCACATTCCCAGTGACCTCACTTCCTTCTCCTATGCTCCACCTCTTGAGCTTTCACCTCCCCCCAGAAGTGCCATAGGATGGTGACCAAGCCTTTCACACATGTGCCCTGTGGGACACCCTAGACCCAAACTGTAGCAGGTATAAACCAGGTTCCCTGGGAATGATGACTGTTCTTGATCTTAGCCTGTGCAACACAAATAAATAAGCATGCATACCTTATCAAGACCAGTTTGAGGAATCTGATACTGCAGGCATGCAAGATTTAGCACCATTTGGAACATGCAGTCATCTAGCACCAAAAGATTAGATTTGTTCTTTCTAGTTTCTGTAAAGCATAAATATGAGATGTATCTGTTATGGCAATGAAATAAATATTTTAAACCATCAACTTCTGTCTTTACACATAATTTATAATACTATTTTATGCCTCTGTGTGTGTATAAAATACACAGTTTATTCCAGCGTAATATATCAAAATAACAGTAATATGCTTGTGCATATTGTGTACAGGTTGAAATGGTGCTGAACAACTCGCAAAGCTTCCCAGGAAGTAGCCCCTGCAAGACCCTTTCTAGAACTAAAGTTATGTGTTGTCTCCGTCTTGTGACTAGGAAACTGGGAAGAGGCTAAAGAGCCGATTGGATAAGCAGCAAGAAGGGGTGTTTATCTCTTTTAACATCCAGATGTGGCAGAAGCTGAATGGAACGCTGTGTTGAGGATGTTCCTGGAACCGTAACTAGGTCCAGGGGAGGGCGTAACTTGGAGATGGCAAATCATCAGTGCTGGTTATAATCTTGAGGGTACACTGGTAGGGGCCAGTGGCACACATGCAACTGATTTCCTGTTTTTGCCTAGTGAAAAAATGAACTCACTAGGTTGGAATCCAGATTTCTGTGTTCTAACTTCAGTCACCTTCCATCCATTACTAAAACATTATATGATTTGAACAAGCTCTTTAACTTGTCTGGACCACAGCCTCTCTATGGTTCAAATTTGAGCAACTCAGTGCTCTTAGTGTAGCATAACACTGAGCCGGAGTAATCAGCTGAATTTATTGTACAAATCCTTGGATTAAGCAAAGACACATTCAATATGTACTTTTTCCTTCGTTCAATGTAATCAGCAACTTAACCTGAGACTCAAGGGAAGCGACAGTGGGCACAACTCTAGTAATTCTTGCAACTTATTTATAACTCTCCTTTAAAAACAAATTAGCAAATAAACTTCTAAATAAAGATAAAGATAAACCTTTTTTAGAAAAAAATATTTACTCATTCTGTTATAAACTAAAAGTTTGTGTCTTCCTAAAATTTATGTTGAAGCTTTAATGGGTAATGTGATAGCCCTGGGAAGAGGGGCTGTTGGGAGATAGTTAGGTTCAAATGAGGTTGTGAAGATGTAGCCCCATGATGGGGTCAGTGCCCTTGTAAGAAGAGATGAAGAGTCTCCACCCTGAGAGGACACACGAGGATGCAACCATGTCCCTCCAGAGAGTGCTTGCCAGGACCCTACCATGCAGACCGTGGATCTTGGCCTTCCTGGCATCCAGAACTATGAGAACAAATGCTTTTGTTTGTCTGTCTTTGTGGCACTTGAGATGGAACCCAGGGCCTTCACACTGAGCTGCAACCCCAGCCCTTTTCATTTTTATTTTAAATTTTGACACAGGGTCTCACTAATTTGCTCAGGCTGGGCTCAAATTTGATATTCTCTTGTCTCAGACTCCAAGAGTGCTGAGGATACAGGTGTGAGCCAGTGCATCCAATTAAATGTTTGTTTTTTAATTTAGACAGACTACGGTATTTTATTACAGCAATCTGAGAAGACTAGGACACTTATAATATGGTGATTTTTACCATAAATGTTTGAAGTGCTTCAACGAACACAGAAAGTTTTTCTTTTCTTGCAGTGTACATTCTATGTGGAGAGGCAGATAACATGAATGGATAAAATTATGAACGTATGAATAATAAATGTACAGATAAATAAAATCATAGTAATCAAGTAAGGAAGTTACATTTAAAGTGTCAGACAGTAATAAATGCTATGAATCACAAGCCAGCAGGATGGTGGATAGAGGTTAGGTAGAGGTGGGAAGGGTACTCTTTTAGATAGGGCCACTACACAGGTCTCCAGTGGCTTGGAATTTGACTGCAGAGCTAAGTGAAGTGGGGGGTTGACCAGGTGGCTATCTTGAGGACCCTTCTACATAGAGCCATAACAAAGCAGAAGTTGTGTTCTGAGGATTCAAAGAACAGGGTGGAAGATGGAATAGCTTTTCCAGTCCTGTCAGCCTCTCTGTCTGGGTTCATTGTGGAGATGTAGCCCTGGCAGATATCCATGTATTTCAGGGACTAGAAGCCTCATGCACTGGTGCTTACCAACATGGCCCCACACACCAGGACACCTTCTTTTGATACCACTGAAAGCTATTTCCCCATGCTTGTCTTTTCAAATGCATATTCACCCTATAGTGGTGTTACTCTTGTCATATAAGTAAATGTAATATTTAAATAATTGACTGTTACTGAGCCTGGTTTATTATAGTAGTAAGAACAAACAGGGACATTGTTTAAAAGGTGTAATCATTCAGGCACTGCTCTCACATTCAGGGCAGCCTGTTCAGCAGAGGGTGTGTTACAGGCACCCTTTGGCCTGTTCCTTGCTCTCCTTCTCCTGCTGTTCCAATTTCATCCAGGAATGAGACTGGCCACACCTGGCTGTATTTGTACTATGTGCTCAGGAATACTCTGTACTGTACACACGTTTCTTCAGGTTTCTCAGAGGCCTTTACAGGGTACAATGTTAAGACATATGACATGAAAGAAGGTATGTAAAATGTTTAGTACAGTGCCTGGCACATAGAAGATTGCCACAAATGATATTCAATATTATCAGAGCATTATTTAGTCCTCCTAGAAAACCTATGAAATGGACATCATAATTTTCAATTTAAGGCCCAGCTTCAGTATATTTTCCAAAGTCACTCTACTAGTTTCAGTGTAACCTAGTACTTAAGTCTCTATCTGTCTCTTGTTGAAGACTATATATATATATGTATATATATATGGAACAGTGTACATGTACAAGTGCATATATATACATGCATGTACACATAAACATATTTCCCATTTATGTTTTGAAGATTATCTTATATATGTAATCAAGATGGCAATTATTCAAGTACAGATGAATATATTATCATTATTAACCTGAATCAGAAGCCAAGTTAGAAGTAAAAGTAGTCAGCAGCAGCATTTGGTAAACTGTCCAGGAGTGTGTGGAGAGGCGCTGACCAACTTGTAAGCATTAGAGAAGAGAATGCTCATGGTGGGCAGAAGTAGGTGGAAGAGTGACCCAGGAGACCTGTGAAGGGCAGAAGCTTTTGGACAGGAGTGGAAAGAACAGGGCATTCTAGTTAGAGAGCCACAAACCTATGTGAACACCAACAGAGAGTGGCAGAGAATAGGACAGTGAGGAGACAGCAGTGTTTATGAGGGATTCTACACGAGGAGGTAAGAAAGGGGCAGCAGGGCTTGGAGGACCTGGTGTTGGGGTGTGAGCTCCTGCTCATGCATTCAGGGGCTCAGACAGACCTATAGGTAGTAGATGATGGAATGAAAAACATAACATGAGATAGAACTCATTGAGATGCATGAAGCTGTATGTGCTGTGCAGATCTTATACATAGCTCTATTAAGGTGTTTCACAAAGCAGAAACAATCAGATAGATAGATAGATAGATAGATAGATAGATAGATAGATAGATAGATAGATGCATACATCCATACATGGAAAGGGATTTCTTAAATGAGGGATTGGCTTATGTACAAGGCTGAGGGCCACTGTCTAACATTTACAAAGGGAGCCCCACATTGCTGATGGTGCAGCTCCAGTCCAAACCCAAAGGACTGAAAGCCAGGAGTGCTAGCATCTGAGAGCAAGAGAAGATAGATACCCAGGTCAAGAAGAGAGCAGTCACCTTCCTCCACCTTTCCTTTCCTCCAGGGCCCCAGTGGGTAGTGACACTGACCTACATTGTTGAGTTCATCTTCTTTCCTCAGTCTACTGATTCAAATGTTTCTTTCAGAAACACCTTGAAGTACTATTTATCATTTACCTTGGCAACTCTTAGCCCAGTCAAGTTAACACTTAAAATTAACCATCACAGTAGTTAAATAAGAAACTGTTACACAAGTTTAAAATAATTTTATTTTCTAGTTTCTCTTCCTTTATTTTCTTATGCAATCACCTATGCAAATGTCATATACACCGAACATCACACATTGTGTAGCAAATCATCCCATAATTTAATAACCTCAAAAAGCATTTTAAAAAATCTCCTGATTTATGTGGGTTAGACAAATGCAAGTTGGCTGTATGGTTCTGGCTCAAGTTTTCTCATGAAGCTAAAGCCATGTTGGCTAATAATGAAATGATCTAACCCTTGACTGGGACTCAAGGAACCACTCACCGTATTAGTTAGCTTTCCTGTCAGTGGGATAAAATATCTAATACAACATAAAGAAGATTTAACTTGGCTCATGATTTATGGGTTTCAGTCCATGGTCAGCTGTCACCAAGGGCCTGGGAGAGGAAAGCTGCTCACCTCATGGCAGCCAGGAAGCACAGCAGGGAAACAATGCCAGAGAGGAAAGGTATTACCTGAGACTATGCCTCCATGACCCTACCTCTCAGGAGTGTGCTGTACTACTATGCCAGGTATTTTTATCCAATGAAGTTGACATATCAGGATTAACAGCCATTGCCACTCACATGGCTAAGAAGTTGGCTGCATGGTAGCCACCCCTTCCATCACCTCAAGAAGGAATTTAAGCAAGAGAGAATCAGGAAGGAGTGGTCTTTTTATGATCTAGTCCCTGGGAAGTCATGTTGGATTATTTCTGCCATATTCTCTTCATGAGAATAAAGTCACTAACTTAACTGTCACCCCTATTCAAAGGAAAAGGAATTAGACTTTGCCTCCAATGGAGAAGTGCTAAATTTTGGGTCTTGACTTTCTTCAAAGGCCTATGTGATAAAGGATTGGTCTGTAGGGTAGTACTAGTAGGAGGTGCTGGAAACTTTAAGAGGTGAGGCCTAGTGGACAAACTTTAGATCATTAGGGCTCATGCTTGTAGGGAAGTAGGGGGATATCCTGACCTTTCTCTCTCTGCCATGTGCTCTGGTCATGATGTGTTACCTTGCCACAGGTCCAAAGCAAAAGACTAAGTTAATCTGACTGGAGCCTCCAAAACTGAACAAAAACAATCCTTTCACCTTTACGTGTTCACAGCTTCA